TTATTATTATTATTATTATTATTATTATTATTATTATTATTATTATTATTATTATATTTTGGCCTATTATTAGTAACTACTTTGACAGAGTTTTCTAAAATTAAACAAACAAAAACCTTTCTATCACAAATATCTTAAAACATTTATGTGGAAGCCATCATCTAACTCTGTCCTGATTGTGTCCTATTTCTTACTTAATCCTCTCTGCATCATGGCTCCCAGGAGTGTGTTCAGTGGGGGCTAAACAGGGGTTCACACACTTTTTTTTTCCCTTTGATTTCTCAAGCCAAGAAATTTGTAAAGCCACTGAAGTCTTCATGTGCCCTCTATGTGACAAGAATTGCTCACTGCAGAGACTCAACGACAGCTGCATCTATGCCAAGGTGAGTGTGGGCCAACATATCCTCTGTGCTCAGCTCATTTTTCTAGGAATTAGACAGTAAAAACCTCCTCAGTAAACAGTTTTTTTCTGTCAAAATTGTCTTCCAAAATTTCAACAATCACTAATGTCATTGACAACCGACAAAAAAAAATCAGTCCGTTGCAATTCAAAACAGAATATATTTTATTTTAATATCTTTTCTTCCTGTTTTATTATGACTGACAACTGACACCTTAGATGCACACTTCCAGTTGATATTATATCTGATTCCTTTTTTGAGAATAATTAATTCCATGGCTGATATTGTTCAGTTTATAGCTTTCGTGAATCTATTAAGTTTAAATACTTCTAGTTTCACAGAGGAACTGCAATGTCATTTCCTAAAGTCTCCTATTGCTGTCTGTCAGGATTACCTGAAGGACTTTTAAACTTTTGAAGAGCAAACTATATCCCAGACCAATTAAAAAGGAACCTTTATGTAAGAATCTAAATCTAGGTGTCATCACATTCTACAAGTTCACAAAGTTCTTAGGTGAACACAACTTTACAAAATAAACAAACAACAACAAAAAGAAAAGAAAAGAAAAAAACACATTTCTTACAGTTTTTATTTTCAGAAGAATTTTATTGAAGAATAATTAACATGTAGTAAACTAAACAAGACACATGTAAAAAAATAAAAAATTGTGCATTCTGCTAATGCATATGTATCGGTAAAACACATCAACACAATGAAGATAACGAACATTCTTGTCACATCCAAAGCCTGCTTTACACCCTCATGTCCTCCCCCTCCCTCAAGCCTCCCACAGAAACCTCCCGACAACGTCTCTGTTTAGGTAACCAATTGCAATGTGTCATCACTGAGAAGCACGTGTGTTTCTTGACTCATGTATATGACATTAAATGGTATGAATTTTTTTCTGACTTCTTTTGTACACTGTAACAGTTCTGAAATTCATCTTACAATGTGGCTTTTATCAACAGAACATTCTTCATTATTAATGAACCCTACTTCATTTTCTCAATATCAAAGTTTGCTATTTATTTACCTTTTAATGCATTTCCAATTTTAAGCAAAGCATCTAAAAAACACTCATTTCCAAATATTCTTACTGATATCATTAATTCTCTTTGATCAATATCTAGATGTGGAAGAGTCATAGTATATGATAGCTTTACTGTTAGCTTTTGTATTAGTCCAGTTTATTTTATTGTGATGATTTCCCTGAGGCTAGTCACCTCTTTAAGAAAAAAGGGTTTATTTTATGGAGATTAGATATTCCAGGGACCCATCTGGTCAAAGTGTTCTTGCTGATAGAGTCCTAATGTAATGCAGAACAGAGGCACACAGTTAGACAGGCAGGGTGAGACTGTGGTTAGTCATGCACTCATTTTTATAAAAGCTAAAGTTCTAGCATAAGGACTGGACTCCTCTGATGACTTGTACAATCCTAATCACTGATCGAAAGTCCAACTCTAAATATATAAAGGTCAGATGGCATTTCTATCTATTACCTTAAAATTAGGTAGTCAAGCTCTATCCATAATAACTCTTTGCAAAAGAGCTGAAGAAGCCTTCTCCGAATTGGTTAAACTGCATGATACATATCATGCATTTTGGTGCCATTTCCTAATTTTGATCCCCACACTGTCACCAAACCTCAGTCAATTTTTGCAAATTGTAATGGCTCTGGTAGATAGGTAGCTAGAAGTATTTCATTATGGTTTAGTCATTTGATGGCTGGTAGGGACCTTCTTGCTCTCAAAATATCCAACTTGGATCACTGTGGTGCTATGTCTAGATCTAATTGTTCTCTACAACAAAATTAAGATCTTCCTGTGTACTCTACTAAGTACCAGGGATGAGGAGGAAATCTAGACTGGCTGATGGAAGTAGGTGCTTGAGGAACTCTTGTCCATTCTTGGGTCTGTCCTTGAACTCAGGTAGTTTCTTTATCTACATGCACACTTGATTCACAAATAGCGCTAAAACACTTACTCAAAATGCTTTAATTCATATAGTTCTTTGTATATCTGGAATTGTTTTAAGACAGTAATCTCATGTAATGATAAAACCTTATTTCTTTCCAACCTATCTTGTTTTTGTACCTACTTTGTATAATTTTGGTTGTTTTGAACATAGGGGGTAATTTATCCTTATTGGTCTATCTTGTCTAGAATTAGAGTTCCCTATACAATTAGTTTTGACAGGTTGAGTATAATATCAACAGAGAAGCACTTTATCGCTAGTCAAATTTTAATAAAGTTAGCTTCTGAATCCATTATCTTGAATAATTAGTGTGAAAAACTACTGTATGGTTACTTAATAAACATGTTTATTTTTGTGTTCTTTGAGAAGGTTCAACAAAGACGATACAGACGTAGATTCGAATATAATGTTTTGCAGCTGTATTTTCATAGCACTTTTTGAACAATTCCAGTATAGTACATATAGTTGATACAGATTAGATATTTTAAAAAAGGCAGATAGGTGGACAGATATCTGGACAGACACATACAAGTCAGTCTGTTATGAAGTTACAAAATGCCAGGAAGTTACAAAATTTGATAGCCTTGGGGATATCAAAGCTCTAGATATACATAACTTCCATTATTTCTAAATTTTCTTTGGAAAAATTCCAAAAATGGCAATTAACACTAAAAACAAAACAGCAACAACAACAAAACATTAACACTAAAAACATGTGGTTGTGGCAAAGTTAAAAAGTGGAGAATCTTCCCAAGAGAGTTTAAATCTAGAGATCTTTTGTAAATATTAAATATGATTATGGAAGATACAAGACAGACACAGTACAGAATTCATTTGAACTTTTACAAAAAAATGTACAAGAGACAACTTGCAAAATCAAATACTGTCTCATGCAACAATGCAAGAAATAAGCCCCACCTATATGAAATATTTAAGGCCCTGAATTTTTCTAGCTAAGATTAAGTGCAGCTACTTGCTTTACACTGATATGTACCATGATTATTCTATAGTTGATGGAGAAAAATGTAAGCATATCTTATGTGTTAAGTAGTCTAGACTTATATCACTAGATACAGACATTTTAAGATGTCACCTCAGTATATACTCACTTAGAAGTGGATGCTAGCCATATAATGTAGGATAAACACATTAAAATCTACAGACATGAAGGCGCTAAACAACAAGGAGGATCCTCGGGAAAATGCTTAATTTTAATTCTGAAAGGAAAAACAGGATAGACACAGAAAAGGTAGAAGAGAGGGAACAGGACTGGAACCCCCCACAGATGTCCTCTAAAACACTCCACCCAGCAGGGGATCAAAGCAGATGCAGAGACCCAGAGCTAAACTTTGGACAGAGCACAGGGAGTCTTATGAAAGAGGGCCGGTATATAGAAGGACAAAGGGGACAAGAGCCCCACAAGGAGACCAACAAAACCAAAGAAGCGGGGCCCAGGGAGCACTGTCGAGAGTGATGCATCAACCAACGACCATGCATAGAGAAGACTTAGATCCCCTGTTCAGATGTAGCCCATAGTCAGCTCGGTCTCCATATGGTTGTTCTCCTGTAAGGGGAGAAGAGACAGTCTCTGACAAGAACTCAGTTGCCTGCTCCTTGATCTCTTCTCCCTGGTTGGGCAACCTAGCGAGCCCACAGAGGAAAAGGATCCAGGCAGTCATGATGAGAACCGATACACTAGGGTCAGACAGTCGGGGAGGACTTCCCCTATCAGTGGACTACCGGAGACGGATAAGGGAGCAAGAGGAGAGAGGGTGGGACTGGGAGGTGAAAGGAGGGTTCTACAACCAGGATACAAAGTGAAAAAATTGTAATAATAATAAAAATAATAAGATGTCACCTCAGTTCCTCATTGAATCCATCAATTCCTGAGACTATGGAGAAGAAATTAAATTCTATATTTTATTTTAAAAATGCACATGTACTTGCATCTAAAAATTGATTTCATCATTTTACAAAAGATATATATATATATATATATTCAATTGACCACTTTTGGTCTTAATAATAAAACTATAGAATTAAAATATTTAACTGAGTACTTTAGTGATATTTGTACATTTATTTAAAAATACAACACTACACTTTCATTGAGCTAGAGGTACTCAATGCTTCATGGAGTTGTAAAACAACTTAATCCTTTAAGCTAACCCATTCATAAATTTCCTTAGGATTATTAAACTTTTACTTGTTTAGAAAACATATATCCAGTATTTACATGTGACTCAAACCGTATACTGACTGTAAAAGTACACCAAAAATAGGAGAGATAATTCGCTTTTCATTAAGAAATTTCAAGAAATAGTCTGTGATCAGACCATCCATCAAAGTTACAGAGGACATTTATTGAAAAAAAAAGACCCCCAAGCCAAATATTTGATAACTTAGAGTCAGTTAATCAAGAATAATACCTAGAAATCCACCTGTTGAGCCCATCTGTGTAGCTGATTCTGAGGAACACATTCTAAGATGGTTGTAGAAGTGAATACTAAACCAAGTTTCTGTTTGGTGTACATCCAGGTATATTGAATATAGACAATTATGCATTATCCCTGGTGCTAAGAGTGAAATATTAAGAAAAGAGAAAAAATTGCATCCGGGCAAAAATCCCAATTCCCTTACGTGCATGCCATCAGTGACACTCTGGCCTGCACTACTGGATTACCTCAGAAGACTCCTCTCACTTACTGTAGCGAGATTTTGTATGTGTGTCAGTACCAAGGCATTATGCTGTTCCAAATCTACCAAGCAGTCTTAGAGGAGATCCAATCACTATAGAAGAGGAGACACCGACTCAAGTTTCCAGTCTCATAGAAAGTGGATATTCTTAAACAATACCTGCATTCATCAATGGCTAACCATGATCAGCTTTCAAAGCTAAACCAGACAGCAAGCACCATGGAGAATCTGTGCTGGGAACTCAGTCCAGCCTTCCCTTCTTACATGACCCTCTACACACAAGAAACATCAAATAGAATGGTTATTCATACACCTCTTTAGTCATAAACGCAAGTTATTTTCCATATTGCAAATGTATATTCTTAAGAAGAGCAAGCCTCCATTGGTTTTAGAAAAGTTATGTGCCTCAAATTATTTTTTTAATTTACTCTGATGTTTCCTTTGATGTAGTTAATGTTCTTTGCTTTTAGACAGGTAAATGCTCATATTTTTCCTGCCACTTACCTCAGACCTAATGTGGAACTCTCTGTAATTACCCTCTCTCAGTATTCCCCATTTTAACAGAGCCGCTTTTTTTGCCAGTATCATAGAGTAACTAGTAATAAGCTTATTATCACAAGCTAATTGCTTATCTCTGCCATCTCTAATATTTTGACACCTCTCATATCAAAATAGGTTGTAAATCTAACAAAATTATTTTGAGATTGTTACAGTCCTGCTTTGAAGTATTCTCTGCTCTTGGTTTTAGTTCTGTCTCCTGTTGCATGTAAATGATACACGATTTAATTACACATTACATGACTAAAATATATATCCACTATAATTAAATCATTTGTTTCTAAAGCATTAATGTACAATTTTGAGCTTCAGCATACCTAAAAGTTTTATGGGCACACTTTGTAAAAGATAACAGAAATCACTTTAAAAGAAAACAGTGCAGAAACTATGACCAGTCTCATCCACTAAGCATGTTTTTTTGTTAACTATTATCTTTTACTTCTAGTTTTCTAAAAGTGCGTGCTGTTTCTGAAGCAAGGGGTAACCTTTATTTTTCAGCGACCTTTCAGTCCTCCTATGTAAAGTCTCTGTAGCACTCTGAGAGGCTGTTCCTGACTAAGTGTGTTTAAAAGGGAAAACTGACAGCCACTCAGCTGCTTGAGGACAGCTCAGGTCTCCCTGCAGGATAACCCTAGAAACAAAGGAACTGCATTCCCCTGCTGGGTCTAATTTTAAAGCTCTGTGAGGATTTTTGTTTTTTTTTTATGATCCTTGTCTCTGCTTTCCAAAATGATGATTCAGTAAAGCAACATATAATATTTTTAGAAATCTCCAACCTCAACTATAATAAAATTTCAGAACCATGAAGGATATTTTGTACTTTCACATCTCTGTTCATCTCTGTTCTTTCTTTTTTGTGCTCTGCTGGGGGTCAGCGCCAGGGATTGATTGTGCCTTCTAGACAAGCTCTCTTCCACTGAGCTAAGCACAATTCATAATGTTTTTTAAAGGCTAAAGCAGAAATATATATTAGTATCATCACAATGTTCCCATTAAGAACCCGCTTTACAAGTGGGAAACAGTAAGATCTGGAGAGGACAAGAACTCCACAAGGAGAGCAACAGAACCAAAAAATCTGAACACAGGAGTCTTTCCTGAGACTGATACTCCAACCAAGGACTATGCATGGAGATAACCTAAGACCCCTGCACAGATGTAGCCCATGGCAGTTCAGTATCCAAGTGGGTTTCATCGTAATAGGAACAGGGACTGTCTCTGACATGAACTGATTGGCCTGCTCTTTAATTACCTCCCCTTGAGGAGGGAGCAGCATTACCAGGCCACAGAAGAAGACAATGCAGCCACTCCTGATGGGATCTAATTGACTAGGATCAGAAGGAAGGAAATGAAGACCTCCCCTATCAGTGGACTTGGGAAGGGGCATGCATGCAGAGGGTGGAGGAAGGGAGGGATTAGGAGGGGAGGAGGGAGGGAACCACGAGGGGGGATACAAAGTGAATAAAGTGTAATTAATAAAGAATAAACACACTAAATAAATAAATAAATAAATAAATAAATAAATAAATAAAATAACTGGCTTTACCATAGGCTAAGCAAAGGGAATGCCGTTTTACCCCAACTCCCCTAATAAAAAAGTCTTTTGGCCCATAATTTGCCTTATCCTCTTTGGGAAATAACACTGCCAGATTCTCTATACTATAGCCTTCTTTACTGGCAGCTTCATTTTCTGTGATTTTTATTTACCTCCAGCAAACTGAACCTTGAAAATATTAAATGAAAAATACACAGTAATAAATTATTCATAGGTTTTAGATTCTGTTCCATTGTATACTGCCAGGCATGTGAATCATCTTTTTTGCATATCTATACAGAAGCCTTCAGGCAACAGCTCTATATTCCCAGTTTCGTAGTACTTATGGCCTAGTGACTCTTGCCTGTTAGCTTTTTCAATTTCACAATGCCTTCTTAGTTACCTCCCTTCATCTGAACATGTAGAAACACCTTCTCACATCCTCTCCACAAGTGGGTGAGTGAGGAAGTCCACATTCACATTTGATTTGCCATTTGTTTTATTTCTTCCATCCTGTCTTTGGCTACTGTTTTCAGTCTCTTATATAAATCAGGGCTTACATAGCACAGTCTGCTGTTCTAGGTGGTCCTTGCAACCTATCTCCCATGGATATTCAGAGGACAGCTATTATTTCTATAGTATTTATGGTCTTGCCAGATGTTGAATTTCACTCATTTGTGGTCAAAGTGTTGTGCAAATAGAAAGAAGCAACAGTAAATGAAATTTCATTAAATCTGAATTTTATTAAAGTCGATCAATTCTTGCAGTTCTGAAAATTACATTATATAACATGGAATAACTCTCCATCCTTTACCGAGCTTTATATCAAGCAACAGCTGTTTAAAAATGTGCTTAATGATTTATGGAACTTCTCAAAACAACTTAACATGAAATTCATTACACGAAGTAAATCATTACTGGACCCATGGCACATTTTGAAAGACATGAGAGATCAGGAATAGTACTATGACAGCCTTCAACTGAAGAACCTTGCTCACTACCAGAGCTCTGTGTTTTATAACTTCCCTGTTCTGGTAACTTTTGATAAGAGGAAACAAGCTTGTTATGCTTTAACTTCTGCACTAACTTCTTACATTTCACAGTACTAGTGAGTTTGACTAAAGTGTAAAATGGCTTTCTTGGGTATCTAGAAACACTTAAAATCCAAAATGAAGTTGGAGTACAAAGAAATCAGAGAGAAGAGAGAAAAAATACAGACTATTGGAATACAGCTGAAGATCTGAGGTTAATAGATCAGGAGACTATACAGTATTGTGACAGAGTCTGGAGAGAAATCACAGTACCTAATGCCAACAATAACTTCCATTTTAGCACTATCATTAGTATGATTAATCTTTCTATTTTTTCTATTAAGGTAACATATTTGTTTGATAATGGAGGGACAGTCTTCTTTGCTATTTTCATGGCAATATGGGGTAAGTATTTTTTTCGTTATTCATTTTCCAACTCTGACTTTCTAACAATATGTCTGTGTCACATGCGTGTGCACCCACACACACCCACACACACACACACCCACCCATACACATGCAAGTGCCACTTTATACCATGTTTGATTCAATAATAAAATCTCTAAAATGGCACTGGCTTTGTTTACCCTCTTCATTCGCTCATTCCCTGGGCATTTGACTCTTATTTAATCCTCTAATCTCTGAGACATAGACTGCCAAAGACAGGTATTGATCAAAAACAAACTAAAATATACTAAAACCAAAAATTAAGTCTCTTGTGTTATTACTTGCACACGTGGTGAGGAGTTTGCTTCATGATACTGCTTGTGGTTTTGCCCTGTGCTTTATGCCTTTAGAAGGCTGGACTGTTTCATATATGACTGAACAAAAATGTATAATGTATTGTAAATTTTTTTTTCTAGCCAGCAAGTTAAAATCATACTAAGTATGCACAAATCTATTCTTTAGCCCTTTCCTCATGTTTTTCATTGAGAATACAAGATGCCTAATTAACTGAAACCTGATGTGTACTCATGCAAGCTGGAATTGCTTAAAACTTTAAGGACTTTCAGGGAAGCTATCACTTTCCTGGCTAGAGTCGGTTTTCTCCTGCGGCCCTGCTGAATGCACTCATTGTCAACTTGCCAGCCGAAGGGACTGACCATGCGTGCTGTTGTAGAAAAGTGAAATGTGTTAGGAAAGAAGACTTACATTCTTATTGCCTTAATTTCTTAGGACCAGGAACTCTACCCTATCATATTTCTGACTTTGAAACAAATGAAAAAATTACCATCCGAATTACGTCCACCAAAAATGCTTGGTTTGTTTTGTGGTCCTAAATTAATTATAGAGAAGAGGAATGAAGAGTTAACTCTGGCTTCTCGTTTAAAAACGAAATATTTAAAGAAAATGAAGTTTTAATTCCCAATTTTCATGTTAAGAACAATTATTGTTAAGTTATCAGTCAGTGTTGCCATGGTGATGTGTATTAATTTTACCTCATTCCCCAAAGGTTTCCTTAAAAAAATAAACCAAAATACAAATTATGGTTCTGTAACACATGCCTCAGCCCAGCTGAGGATTGTAAGAAAAGAAAGCTTGTAGGTGATGGGTCCACTCTGTCTCTGCTGCATGCCTCCAGCTTTTGCAGCTCTCCCAGTGCAAACAGCACAACAATGGTCTTACAAGTCTCTTGAAATATGAACTTCTCGAAAGGCCGAAATGGAGACGAACCCTTGCCCTCTGCAGCCGTTATTTTCCTAGTTTTACATGGGAGTGCGAAGCGGAGGTATATCGTCCATGGGAATGCCGTCATGCACATCTTCTCCACCTTCTGTCATGGAGGGGTCACTCACAGCGGAGTTGTAGTAACTAGAATTTCCAAAATGGACATCATAAGGTTCTGGCGCATTGTCTAGCCGCAGAACTGAAAGAAGAAAATAGCAAAATCAACAGAATTGGTTTTTTGACGATAGTCTAAGCGATGAGCACTCAGCCACCCGATTACATTATCAGACTTTGGGGATTTTTTCCAGCTGATGAGCAGGTACTTATTCTGTGTGGGATTTCGGACACTGCTTTTGAAATTTTAGATGGGCAGATTTTTAAATATGGCATTTATTTCTGTAAATAAGAGAACAGAGGTATTTCTAACATTCTAAATTGGACATAAAATTAAGAAATTAAGAGAGGCATCTGGCAGCTCAGTCACCAAGTGTGTACCCTACTAAGGGGAACAGGTGCTGTCTCTGACATGAACTCAGTGGCTGACTCTTTGATCACTTCCCCCTGAGTGGGGGTGGGGACAGCCTTACCAGGCCACAGAGGAAAACAATGCAGGCAGTCCTGATGAGACCTGATAGTCCAGGCTCAGATGGAAGGGGAGGAGGATCTCCCCTGTCTGTAGACTGGGGGAGGAGCATGGGTGGAGAAGAGGGAGGGAGGGTGGGAATGAGAGGGAAAGAGGGAGGGAGCTACAGCTGGGATACAAAGTGAATAAACTATAATTAATAAAAATAAAATATATCTTAAAAGTAAAACAAATAAGTAAATAAATAAATAGAAAAAATAAAGCAAGGCATCTGCACAAAAATACAAGCATAACTAATTGGTTTTAGATTTTTTTTGTTTTCTATCTTCTGGTACAAAAATTACTTTTTAAGTGAAGACAGTTAGCAAAACATTATTTATCTTAATACCTTGATAGTCAACCCTGTTAAAAATATAAAAGGAAGTAAGAAATTATAAAATTATGCCGCCTTCTGATAGATCCAAGTAATCACTCAATATACTTTGATAGATGATTCAGGAGATTTTGTTTCCTTTTTAACAAAAGGAAATCAGTTTGAGTATATTTTTTTCAGAGAAAACCTAGGTATATATTAGTCATCTTAAGTTGCTTCAAAAAGGGACTAATTACTAATTAGATTAGTGGCTTAATTACTTCTGTAAATATCATGTTGCCTGCTTATTCGTTAAGCCATCTGCTTACAAACTAGCTTCTCCGGAACACTTTGAAGAAGCATCTCAAAGCTCTATTGAAGAGATCAAAAAGGTCTCATGATTGCTCCTCTAAGAATGAATCACAACTACTTTATTGTAAAATAAAAAACTGAAAGGAGAAATGTTTATATTATGTACATAAAACAAGCTTATTTAAAAAATCATATTTTTCAAAGTGATGTCTCTTTCACTTTGAAAACCATCACTTTTTAATATAGATTAGTAGAAACCTATAAACAGGATTTTCCTGAATTTAGAGTTCATGGATTTGATTTTGAATATGTATAATACATCAATGATGAGTTGAACTCAGAATACAGTAGGACTTTACCAGTGGACTCATTAGAGCCAGGTAACTATTTGTAATGAGGGAAGAAATCCTTGTGCATCCAAGAAAACAGGTCTTCTCCTCCTAGAGCATAAAAGAGAGGAGTCAAGCATCGGAAGTGATTTCATTTATCTTGTGTTTGAATAATAGATATCAAACTACCTACTTTATTTAGCACATATATTCTATATTCTATTACTTGAAGATATTATTGTTGCCCTCTTAATCATATATATATATATACGTGTGTGTGTGTACTGTGCTTATATGTATTCGCGTGTGTACATGTGTACATGTGTAGACTGGGAAGCTGAAGTCAGAAATCTTCCTCAAAGGCTCTTCACCTTATACATTGAGACATGATCTCTCAGTTAAACTCAGATCCCACCAAGGTCACTAGTCACCTTGTTAAGGGGACCCCCATCTTTCCCTGACAAGTGCTGACATTACAGGCTAAATTACCAGATGTCTACATGGGTTCTAGGGGCTGAACTCTGGTCATGCTTAGGTAACAAGTGTGTTTGTTGACCTGCCTCTAGAGCCATGATTACCTTGAAATATATGAGTAGGAAAGTTCTGAAATAATCGTGTCTTTTATCTGTGCACAAATGAAGGTTTCAGATATGGTGTTTTGGAGCGACATTCCTGGTTTTGTATTAGAACTATTAATTTGAATTTTTAGGGACAATAATAAAAATATAAAAAGATAAAACAAAAGCTAACACATTTGAGTTAGACAAAACAAAGAGAAGAAAAAGAACCCAAGATTAAGCACAACAATTAGAGACACACCTGTTTGCATGCTCAAGAATGCCATAAAAACACTAAACTAGAAGCCATAAAATATATACAAGGGACTTGGTGCAGACCCATGCAGGCCCTGTGAATTCATATGACCTCTGACCACAGAGACTTGTTTTCTTGGTGTCCCCTATCCTCTCTGGCTTAAAATTTTCATCCTGTTTCATGAGGTTCCCTGAGCTCTGAGGGAAGAATTTGATAACAACACCCCACTGAGGGCTGAGTGTTCCAAAGTCTCTCACTCTCTGCAAAATGTCTCACTGGGAGTTTCTATTTGTTCCCATCTACTGCAAGAAGATGTTTCTATGATGATGGCTGAGCAAGGCACTGATTATATTTGTTTTCCTGGGTCTAGGAGACCTCACTCAGGCTGATTTTTTTTCTTATTTCTCTTACCTGCAAATTTCAGAACCACATTTTTTAGAATTTCATATCACTACCTCTAAATGTTTTTCATATATTTAGATTCTTGAAACACTATTTAAAACCAATTTTGATACAAAGAGCAAAAATTTCAAGTGGTTTTTAAATGTCACACATAGGTAATGATTTTTTTTTCTTCTAGTGAAGACTCCCCAACTTTCTCCTAGCTAGTGCTTTGCCACTTAACTAAAACAACTGTGTGCCAGTAGTGGTCTGCAAGCAGATTTTACCTGGTTCATTTCTGTCGTCATAAAGTCTCCGATGGGAAAATGAGTCTGTTTTCCGTTGTCCACACAACAAGTAGCCAACAAGGCTAAGCAGTGAAGCACCCAAAATAGCTCCTAAAATGGCTCCAAACACTATTCTTGTATTATTATTCTCTAGAAAAAACAGAAACAAAAGTTACAGTTGAGGAATAGAAAAATGATTATTCTTAAAACAGAATTACAGATGCAGAAAAAAGACAAAATACAAAAGTTTAATTTTTTTTTAAATTAGATACTGGTGACAGTTTGTCTCCATGTGTATGCTATAGTATAGCCAGTACATGTGATCCAGTGGTAAAAATAATTCATTGTAGCATTGTAGGTCTACGTTTTACTTTCTTTGGTTTTCTTCCAAGTCTGATTTATAATTGTCTTATTACTTATTATCACCAAAAGTGCTGAAACACTGTATTTTATAGATGATCCAGTTTCAGTGATTAATACTGTATTTATTAAGCTTTTTATAAACCCTGAATCTATGAAGAAATTTAAAGTTGAAATGAACTTTAATTTTGTGTAATATTTATAGATATATCAATGTATATGTATATATGTACATACAACATACACACACACACACACACAACAAACAGTAAACAAATAAGTGAGTAATAGATAATATATCCACAATCTGCCAAGAAGACACTGGAAGGGAAAGCAATCTAACTTGGTATCATATACTTACAAACCTAGCAAATGAAACAAACAAACAAAAGTAAGATATTCACAATGTGCACCTCAGCTCAATATTGAAAAACTGCAAAATGGTACTGTATTATGACCTTTAGTGGACTACTTTACTGAAAATCAAATAACTGTTAAAGTGTTACTGCCATTGAACATAAAGTACTAGATACCAATGCATGTTTGAATATCTTGAGAAGCTCACTGCTTAGGTAGACAAAGCGTTTCTTGGGCTTTCTATCGCTATAGACCCAATTCTACGCCTAATAAAATTAACTCATTTAGAATACAAAAGTTATTATTATAAAAAGAAGCAAAGTTAGCAATTTTGATAAAAGAGGTATGGTATGGGTCAGTGCTAAGTATTCAAGACATTTTTTTTTAGTTTAGAGAGAAAAAGAATATGTTTTAAATATTCTTTCTAATGGAATACAAAAGTATACATGAATGATGGAATATGTGAAAATTATAACAAAACTGAAATAGATGTGCACACATATCGCTATCAGGTTGATTTTTAAAGTTTACATTTTAGAGCTTAAAACATTTCCCATATGTTGACAACAGGTTATAAAGGCCAATTTACATGTGTTTATATATTATAATTAATATATAAAGAGGCTAATTAATTTAGCCTCTAAGAAAGTACATCAGAAGGCATTGATTCTTAAAATATTAGGTTTTTGTTAAAAATAACAAAACAATTCAGGCATACAAACATATAGTTACCTGAACGAAATGAAGTTTAATGAGTGCATTATATAGCCTTTGATATCTTTCCTAATTTTATGTTCGACCTAATCCTTAAAGGAATTACATAAATGTTTACATAATAACGTGATCAGAAAATTTATAATTATATTATTCTCATAAGATTAAAGTAAAAGTTAAGGATCTGTTGCTTCTGGTAAGCTCGTCTAGGTGATTTTTGGAATGTCACTGTTCTGTCATTGTCCAGTCATTGTAAGGAGTCAGATAATCTCTAAAAGCACTCATTTTGTTCAGTGTTTCAAAGCTCACATGCATATATTTTAAAGCTCATTTGTATAACATTCCTGTAAGCACCTGAAAGTTCAGATTGTCCTTAAAGTATCAATGGGAATTGTTATCTGGTGCCTCAGGCAGCATTTTCACTTACAGGCATCATCTTTTATTCCACTGTCTTCTCATACTCCACCCTCCTAATACCTAGTATGTGTTCAATTAAGTCCTAAAACCAAGCACTTCAATACTCTTCACAGTAAGGCTGACCCGTACCACTGCACTCCTCTAGAACAGCATTCTTTACAATTAATGTATATCACTTCTCTACATTGCATTATGTAATCAGAAACTTAAGTTCATTTATATATACCTTTTGAGGGGTCTGATGTATTGGGGGAAAGTTTTGAATTGTTTGTGAATTTTAAGGTAGGCTGTAAAGTTGTTTGTTCTTCATATGGGGTGAAACCAGCAAAGTTGTCATTGTCTGTGGCAAGCCATCCAGTAGGTTCTACTGTCAAAGGGGTCACAGTTGTGGTCATCAGAGGTGGAGGAAGGATGCTGACTGTACTGGAAATATTGTCGGGAGTGCTCATGGTATCATTGTCCAAAGACCAAGTGAAGTTTTTTGATAATGTTGAATGTATAGAGTTGGATTGTGCTGAGTCCTGTAAAGGATTTACATCTGCTGTTGATGAGTTCAAAGGCAACTTGGAAACAAAACCATGAACCAAGGGAGGGATAGGATATGTGGAGGTGGATCTTGGACCCTCAGTAGAGCTAGATGTTGACCAGATACTGGTGGAATTTATTGTTTCATAGGCTGTGGATAGCTCCATAAGAGAAGTGTCTGTCATCAAGGGATTGGAAGTATTACTTTCATTCTCTGAAGTTATATTTGTGCTTGTTTCAGAATGGATGGATTTGTTTCCCATTGTTTTTAAATCTTCTATAGTATGCTGTGTCATATTTCTTCTTGGAGTTTGTTTCTCGGTCTTCCCAAATGGTAATGAAATGAACAGACTTGAAAGCAAGGCAATTTTGGCAAAGGTCAGCATGGTAGGCTTCTTTGGTATTGGTTTTAATATGGAGAATCTGAAAGAAAGTAGGAGTTATTTGAATTATTAGTAGCATTCTGAGTTTTTTCTATGGATCTTCATCATTAAAGAGAAAAACTAGAAACATAGTGTTGATATTTCTTATTTTTAAAAGTTGCTTTTGTTGGATTGTGGATTTAAACCAGTGTCACTAAGTTCTATTTTCTATATAATCATAGGAAAATGCCAAGGAACAACCTTGTCAAGTTAGATACTGCTATTTCATAGATCACTGAGCTTGGAACAACTTGAAAATATATATATATATATATTTATGCATATACATAGGCTCCTAAATAATTTTTTAAATGTAAATATAGGGCATGCAGAGCTGTGTGGTGTCTTCAAACTATGAAATGCACACTCTTTACTGGGATGTTATTTTGAATGCTGGTTGTGAAAATAACTACAATGATCAGATACTTAATGTGCTATTGTCAGATCTTTCCAAAGGTCCCTTGAATGTACTTTATTCATATTTACTTTTAATTCATTGAAGTTGAAATAGCAGCTATGTTATAATAAATGAAGAATGAAGTTGAAGGTATATATCAAAATTTTACCTACGTAGATTAGGGCACACTTAGGTAATAGAACCGTGGCAGTACCCTCACTATTCCAAATATACCATTCTACTTGAGTGGTCCCTAACTCTTAAGTAGGGGATAGGGAAAAATGAGAGCAGGTATATATTAAAATTCTGGTTTCTGTCACAAATACCCTATAGAATCATCATCGTTATAAATTGTGAATACATTATTATCAAGGTAACCAAACTGTTTTACAATATTGTTTTAAAACTAAATCAAATAATATATGAAGAAACTTTCAGAACAGTAACTGGCATAAAATAAGCACTTAATCCACAACAACCACCATTTGGTGTCAATTAACTATCACAATATCTCTGCAGTGCAGTATTTCTCAACCTTAGACATAATCCCTCTTGAGAGTCAAATGACTCCATCATAGGGGTTTCCTAAAACCATTGGAAAACACAGATATTTTCATTATGAGTCATAACAGTAGCAAAACCACAGTTATGAAGTAGCAATAAAAACAATTTTATGGTTGGGGTCACTACAGCATGAGGAACTGTATTAAAGGGTCACAGCATTAGGAATGCTGAGAACCTCTGCCACAGTGTCTTAGGGATTACAAAGTTTGCAATGTCCTTGCATTTGATGCAGAGATATCTTGAGACAAGAGGAGTTTGTGTAATGTTGTTTATGTAGGTGAAGAAACTGAGGTTCAGAGTGGCTAGTAATCTAAATTAATAAGCAGGGAATCCAAACAAGATGCTAAACAACACATTTAACTGAGTTTTCATATTTAAAAAAAAAAAATGTTAGCCTGGAGCTGAAACTATTGCTTAATTGCTAGAATGCTTGCTTAGCCTGCAATAAACCCGTATTCCATCCCAACATTGCAGAGAGCAGGCAAGCTGATGCATGCCTGTGTTCCCAGCATGAGGGAGGAGTATGATGGAGTAGCACCATCAGAAGTTCAAAGTAATTCTCAGCTACATAGTTTGAGGTACATAAGACCCAATGTACAAGCAATATCTTCAACAATAGAGTCTGAGAACTGATTTGATTCTACTCAAATTGGGTCTTACTTTTCACTAAAAGATTCCAACTTGACTCAGGAAACAGCAAATTGAACTTTTTAAGGTTCTATGTTGCCTAAAATTTTTTAGATTTATTTTTTTAATTTTTAATTTATTATTAAGACAGTTTATTGACTTTGTATCCCGGCTGTGGCCTCCTCCCTCCTTTTCTCCCAAACCCTCCCACCCTCCCTTCCTCCCTCCTTCCCTGCCTCCCTCTCTCCCTCCCTCTCTCTTTTCCTCCCATACCCCTCTCCAAGTCTACTGATAGGGGAGGTCCTCCTTTCCTTCCATCTGAGCCTACCCTATCAGGTCTCATCAGGACTGGCTGCATTGTCTTCCTCTGTGGCCTGGTAAAGCTGCTCCCCTCTAAGGGGGTGGTGGTCAAAGAGCCAGCCACTGAGTTCATGTCAGAGACAGTCCCTGTTCCCCTAACTAGGGAATGTACTTTGAGACTGAGTCTGTGTGCTATATCTAAGCAGGGGTTTTAGATCCTCTCCATGTATGGTCCTTGGTTAGGGTAACAGTCTCTGCAGGGCCCTCAGGGCCCAGTTTTTTTGTTTGTTTGTTTGTTTTTTGTCTTGTTTTGTTTTGTTTTTTTGGCTTTCTTGGTCTCCTTTTGGAGCTCCTGTCCCCTCTAGTTCTTTCTATCTCCCCTTTCTTTCATAAAATTGAATGTACTTGGCCCAAAGTTTGGCTATGAGTCTCAGCCTCTGCTTCAATATCTCGATCAGTAGAGTTTTTCAGAGGTCCTCTGTGGTAGGCTCCTGTCCTGTTCTCTGTCTTCTGCTTCTGATGTCTATTGCATTTGCCCTTCTGAAAGAGGATTGTGTATGTTCCCTAGGGTCTTCCTTGTTGTTTAGCTTCTTTAGGAGTATAGATTTTAGTATTTTTATCCTATTATATGTCTAATAACCACTTATAAGTGAGCATATACCACGTGTGACTTTCTGCTTCTGGGTTACCTCACTCAAGATGATCTTTGCTAGTTCCCACCATTTGCATGCAAATTTCATGATTTCCTTGTTTTTAATAGCTAAGTAGTATTCCATTGTGTAAATGTACACTAATTTTTGTATCCATTCCTCCATTGAAGAACATCTAGTTTTTGTCCAGATTCTGGCTATTACAAATAAAGCTGCTATGAACATGGTTGAGCAAATGTCCTTGTTGTATAGTTGAGCATATTTCAGAGATATTCCTAAGAGTGGTATAGCTGGATCTTGAGGTAGCTTTCTGAGAAAGCACCAGATTGATTTCCAAAGTGGTTGTACAAGTTTACATTCCCACCAGAAATGGAGGAGGGTTCCCTTAAGGGTTTGCCTGAATGCATGTATGTGTACCACATGTGTATCTAGAACCTGTGGATGTCAGAAGAGGGCATCAGGTTTGCTGGAACAGCCAGTTGTAAGCTGTCGTGTGGTGCTGGAATTAAACCCAGGTTCTCTAGAAAAGCAGCCAGTGCTTTTTAAACACTGAGCCATTGCTTCAGCCTCTTGTCTGAAGATTTTCAAGGACTTTCCTGAATTTCACAAATACTGTCAACATTGCTGATTTTTTTTAAAATTAGGATACAGAGAGCCTCCACACCCTTCTGATTATAATTTCATTTTAGTTCCCACGCTTGCTTTCTATTCAAGGATCTGTCACAAGTTAAGCACATCTGTATTATATTCTGATATACTGTATTCATCAAATACTTTTAGGAATCAGCCCATGGTTTTACGTTCCAAAGGTTTCACTGGGAGCTACAGTTTTCATTCCTGTTATAATCATTTAAGAAAAGTCTTCTTAAAATATTCATAGGTGCATTGCTTATGAGTGTCTGGCTGTAATCCATCAGTAACAGATTGAACAACAAATTCTGGCCTGTTTGCATGGTAAAAATTAGCACCTTAAGATTTTACGCAACAATGTGAGTACCATCAACATAATGCGGAACCTAAAAATCCTGGCATATTGTGTAATCCCACATATATGAAGTTCAGAACAGGCACAACTCTCTGTTAGAAGACCAGAGACTGTGGGAGGATACGTGGGAAGAGGGCATTGTTCATTTAAAGAGTTCTCATGTGCTCGTTATACTCTCTCTCCAGACAGGAATCACTGAAATGTTTATATTTGTGGTAATTCTGCTTCCTTATATTTTATTTCCTTTTGGGTGAGAAGAGTTTTAAGCCCTAAAATTGTTAACATAATCATAAAATTGTGTGGCTAATTGTATATTTGTTATATTAGAGACTTTGTACATTTTTACATTGAATCCTTAAAAGCCATCAGACATAACAATATTGGTAACTGCATCTACAAAAAATTAAGTGGAGGCATAAGGAGTGTCAACAATGCATTCAAGGACTCATATTAGTTAATCAAGTTTAGTAATAGAATAAATCTTGTCATACTTGACTTAAAGCTAATGTGTGGGGCTGTCACTCAATAACCGGAAGGAAGTGGATTTCCAAGAATATGAAAACCTGCAGCTGATAAAAGTCTTTTTTGTAGTGAAGCTCAAATACTTACATACTACTTAATCCCACCCTGCTACCCTTCTATATACTTCAAATGCTTCTAAAATATTTAGAATACCTAATACAATGTAACGTCAGATAAATAGTTGGAATTCTAGACAGTTTAAGAAATAGTGGCATGAAAACACCTGCCCATGTTCGGTACAGGGCTTTCTTCTGACCCATTTTGACTTGCCTTTGGTTTAATGCATGAACACACAGCCCGTGAACAAACAGGTCCAACTGTACTCTGTAAAGCAACTGCAAAGGAGCATACAACTTACTACTTCCTGTCTTTGTAGAGCCCTTTCCATCATCCTCTTGTTTTAAATGCAGCTTTTAAATCGAAGGGTTTAAGCCATTCTAAAAGACACTGCAAACACTCATCTATCTTAAGTATTTCTCAAACACGATGACTATACTCTTATCTTACCATCAAGAACTCCAACACCTTTTTGCCTGATGTCTTGTATGACCCACATAAATAAACCGAAAGTTTGTTCCTTGGGCCGATAGCTAATCAATATCCCCTCAGTTAGTACCTTGTATAGTCAGTACATTTAAAATGCAGTTTAGCTTGTTATAGAAATGTGTACCTTTCAGAGTTATTTTTCCCCAGTGAAATCTGTACAATTCGTGGAATACACAGTTGTCTCTCTTTATAACTGCTGCCTGTGTTCTACTTAAGGCGTTTTACTTGTTCACTCTTTTTATCATTATTTTGCCACTTGGTTTACATTCTTTCTAGTTAAGCATTTTTCCTTATTTTCTTGTCCTAAAAGTTTGGTCATCAGAGGCAGGGAAAAAGTCCTCAGTGGTTCTATTTTTCTTTCAGTGTTACCAGAGGAACGTATCCTGAAGTTCTCAACCCCCTCTTGTAAT